ACGTGAATTTCTAAAGTTAGATTAACGTTATACTAATGTAAATACAAGTTGGAAAAATATTGGCGTTTTATATTAACGTAAAATATTGATTGTAATTGTGCAAAATTTAATGCTGATATAGCAATAGTTATTTTTATATAACCGTGAGCCGAAGCCTGTTATATGCGGCTTCGTTTCATGGTTATTGTATGAATATAACTATATATATTAACATTAAATTTTAAACACAATTACAATCAATATTCAAAGGTAATATAAGGATTTTTAACCCCTTACAAAGGGTTAGAAAAATAGTTTTGTGGATATTCATCCTAAAAATACAATGTTTTTAAAAAATTTTTTTAAAGATGTATTATATATTCTTTTGTATTATAAATTTACAAAAAAACTCAAAAATAAATAATTGTTCAATGGAGAGAACTTTAAAATGCTTCCTATTTGATCCTTTGTTTATAATTGGCTATATGTTTGATTTTCAACGTTTACATTCAAGGTTCAAGACTAATATATATCTAAGAATAAAAAGCGGAAGGAACGTAAGGAAGAAGGGAAAGATAGAACAATATTGAGCTATTATTAACGTACCAATTATTGCTTTACACAACTTTTTATCTTCGAATGATACCTTCTTTACATCATCACGAATTTTGCTTATTATATTTAGATATTTCTATTAAAATTACTCACAGTTTCAATGGTTAGATTATCCAGAGTTAAACAAAAATACATACCTGACCATAATACTTTTTATATTTTCTTTAACATTTTTTCCACCTGCTTTCTTGAGGTGACAAAGCGAAAACATAAATGAAAGTGTAGTGAAAAGTTTATGTTCGAATAAGACAGGATTAGGTTCATTTGGTTATTTATCACAGTTGTTCTATAAAAGCAACAAAATAGTTGCTCAAACAAATATAAGACAAAATTATTAAAAAAAAATACAAGACTGTGAAAAACTCTACAAAATGTAAATGGCTATCAGGTCACTAAATAATTCTTGATTTATGTATTGTATGAAAATGAAAATGATGTAACTAAAAGGCAATCTATCAAACAGACAAACTTTAAAAATAGAAACTATAAATATAAATTACTAATTTACAGTACTCCCGGTTGTCTTTTAATCTGGTTTTAAGTTCATAAAATTCTTCAATGGACTCAATCTTTTGAAAATGGTTAAGCTTACACTTTCTGACGTTTTATCGGCACATTTGCAACAATTTTTCTCAAGATGTAATTGAAGTTATATGAATTATACTGAAAACCATTTGTCAATAATAATTCATACTCATGCAAAAAATCATATAAAAATCATCATGATTATTTAGCTTGTTATCACCAACAAATAATGATAAAATAAATGGTGTCCCTTTGTTAAATATAAATAATATAGACATGTGTGTTTGATAACTTGAATGAGGGAAGGCCATCTATATTGACAACTAAAAAAATTGTATTTGAATCAAGTCTATAATGCTAGTTGACTGCTAAAGTTCTTGATATGCCGTTTGAAATACCAAGATAAGCATATTCACCTCCACATTTTAACTCACTTAGAACATTCCTAGGGGTAAAATTGTCCTTGTGCATTTTGGTAAATCAATATGATGACCATACTGGTGTAAAATTAAAAATAACAGTTCAACACTTGCATTTCTAGTTATTCTGTGTTTTAAAATCCATTTGGCAATCTCTGTAACAAGTACTCCATCATTAAGATCTTTATTATCATCATTCATAGGAACCTCAGAGTCTAGATCAGAACTCTCAGTTTCAGAAGTATCTTTATGATTAGACACAAAATAAAAGTCACTATAGTTCTCAATTTTAATGTTTTTGAAATCAATGCAACTCTCAACTTCATTATTATACGACTTAACCTGCAATGCGTTGTCGATTTCTTCATATTCAAGTATATTATTTAAGGCTTGATTACTTTGGCGCCATTCCCTCAAGTAATGATTTTTCTTTTGTTTGTTTATTTTTATTATTCTGAAATAAACATAAATTTTAGTTGTTTTAACAATAAAAAGAATATAATGAAAACTGAACACAATGAAAAATAATAATAATAATAATAAGAAAACCTAAATTTTTATTAATAAAAAAACAGGTAAAAACATTTTTAGAAGAGATAATATTCTTATATTTCCTAAACTTTGAAGAGTTAATATTCTTAATCTCTCATCAAACTACGTTTGATCAAAGTAAGTTTTTTACTTGCTAGCTCATTAATCTCATATAGTTAAATGTTTGTATATAATTGTCATAGTTTAAAATATACAGTTAAATGTTTGTATCATTATTGAAATCCTAAAGTTAAAAGTGTTATTAGTAATAATTATTACTAATTAATAAGCTGAAAACAATTTTTGTAAAGACGGTAAGAGCATTTGCTAGCCTTTATTAGCTATGGTTATTTAGGCTAAAATAAAAACTAGCTTAAAATAAAATCTGAAAATAAAAATTAGGTATAACAGATTTTTCAACAACAAAATGTTAACGTTAAACTTTAGTTGGCAAAATAATGTCAATTTTTTTTTTTTTTGAGGTTCATTAGTTTAACCAGGGGTGTGGAGTCGTAAAAAAAAGTAACGACTCCGACTCCAGTTGTTTAAATTTTTTGAGTACAACTCCAACTCTGACTCCGACTACAACTCCAAAGCAAAATTTAAAAAAAAATTTTAGAATTCTTTAAAAAATATTACGCAATAAGATAACAAAAATTTTTTTTGACAAATTTATGAAACGCTCTTTGGGGTTTAGTATGAATATAAGGTTAATTGCATGTTTTGTACATGCACATACAATACTGAGAAGTTTTACTATTGGTGTCGGAGTCGCCATTTTGTTTAGCGACTCCAACTCCGCTAAAAATGTTGCAACTCCGCAACTCTATCTCCACAGAGTTTAACGTGAAATTATAAAGTTAAATACATTATGTTAATTAAAACATAACTAAATAAATTACAAATTAATAATAATAATGAATACCATAATACAAATGTTTCCCTCCATCACTGATAATAATATGAAAATATTTTTCTGTGTAATTATCTCAGCATTAATTATGATATTTGTATTATCAAAATTCAAAAAATTAAAATTTGAACACATTTAAATGGTATCGAGACTAGTATTTATGGTTAATCTGAAAAGAACTGTAAGTAAACACTGCTATAAAATATTTATTCAGAAATACAATACTTACTGTTAAAAATATATTAAAAATATATTATTTACTGTTAAAAATAAGAAGGGTAATATTTAGAGGCTAACCAATGATATATATATTTTTAAATAAGCCTTTTTAATCAAACATTTATTAAATCTTTTATCAGTAATTCAAAGTTTTAAATAAATGTGCGCTGTTTATTTTCAAATATTTTTAAAAAAATTCCTCGGATTTCTTTTAAAAGACGATGCAAACCTTCAAACTTAGCTAATTTAACTAAATATTTAATTTTAATTTAACTTTTAACTTAACTTATTTTCTATATTCTCATACGCCATCTTTATATTTTTACGTTGTCCGTATGTTAGCTCAACGTTAGAATGTTAGGTAAAAACTTTTTTTTTTTTTTTTAACGTTGTGTCAACCTTAGCTCAACGTAAGAATATTACGTTAAAAAGATTACGTTGACTTAACGTTGAATTAACATTAAGTAACATAAAACGCAATTTTAACATAAATGCAACGTTAGCACAACGTTGTGTGCCTGCTGGGAAAAAGAATTAAAACACTATAACTAACTAATTTATTAAATGTGTTAGATGTCAGTAATGCCAATAAAGATGACTTAATTTATTTTACTCAGCACTGTTCTATATCATATTTGTAAATTTTATATGACGAGTAGTAAAGCTGGCATAGTGAGGCAAAGTAAATAAGAAATTTGAATTAATACATACCTACTAATACATATCACTTTGAATTAATACATATTTATTTCAATGAAACAACAATAAATTATATATCGGAATGCTGATTGATATAGTGTTTTCTAAATCTGTTGATGTGTCCCAAAATATAAAATCCTACACTTTGCTTCTTTTTCCTTTTTTTACATTATCCAATCTATCAGCCCTCACTGATTAGAGAAAGATGTCCCTTCATTTCTTAACTAGCTTAACCACCTTAATAATAATTTAAAAAATAGCTTTATCTGTCATTACTCTATTTTCGTAGATAAAGTCGTTCGGAACAAGTTTTTTGACTTGTTTGCTAAGTACAACACAGTGTGACGTAAATATATAGCAACACAGTATGACGTAATAATCAAAATGTAGTACATACTAAGTGTATAACGGAGGTGTATCAGAGGAAAGTTTCAAATATACTTTAATGGAATCAAACTATTATATAACAAAATGCATATATAAAAAAGATGTTACGGAGCTTTGACTCCTGCTTCTATAGATTGGGCTGGTTTCGATAATTTGCTCAAGTTCTAAAAACTCTGCGCATTCTATTGAACTTGAGAGTTTTGATTCAAGACAACATTGTTTTGATACTAAATACTAAAACTAAAACATTTAATAAAAATTATTTATAAACTGTGAATTGACAGTCTTAGTATAAATCTCTGGCTCCAATAAACCCCCGTTACTCATTCGACATTCCTTCGTTACACCTCTAATACATACGTATTTCCGAAGTTTTGAACTTTTATTAAAGTTTTTGAATTATTCAAAGTTTTATTAGTTTATTACATACACTAAAAACATAATTAAAATTTTTTATTTCAATCAAGCATGTTTATTAGCCGATTAACCAAAACGAAACATTAAAAACAAGAAAATGGTCTGACTTAAACGGAGTTAAACGGTTTAAGACATTTACTGATAGTTTTACACTAAGTTAATAGTATCATTTAAAGTAGTATATTATCAATTAAAGTTTATAAATTAGCTGGGGTTTATCAGTTATGGGCTTTTACAAACACTTATTTTTTGTATAACATTTGTTTTAATTTAAATCTCTTGAACTTTAATTTTAGATATTGTTTACTGCAGCGTTTGCAATTCACGGCACTAGTTGTCAAGAAGGTAAGTCAAATTATTTTAATAAAATTATTTTAATACAATTATTTTAGTAAAATTATTTTAATAAAATTATTTTAATAAAATTATTTTAATAAAATTATTTTAATAAAATTATAAACTTAAGAAAGTGCCTTTCTTATAACGTAATTACGTTATCATTTTACTTGTACTTTTAAAAGTTATTTTAAAAATAACACTTTTTTAAACTCAACTTGCTCACTACTTCAAATTAAATGGATAATTAACTGCCTACTTCTTTTGATTAAATGGGAATATAATATCATTCTAATACTGTGGATTTTTTACTTTTATGTAAATTATATTTTTACATATTTAAGCATATCTTGATGCACATAAATAAATTAGTATATTAAAAATAGATTTTTGGTCAGAATGGCAGGAATGGTCGGCTTGTATTGAATCTAACGGTAGTGAAGTGATGAGTAGAAAACGATTAAGTATATCAAAGTTGTATCCTAGCAACAGTATAGAAGTAAAAGATTGCTATGGTGACAAAATATGTAAAGGTAAATGTTTTATGTAGTGTTTATGTTGTGTTTTCAGTACTGAAAACAAAAAGTTAATTTCAATTCAAATCTGAAGCAGATTGTATTTTTGACTTTGGGTTTAAAGTCTAGAGTTCTTGTTAAATACTTTTAACACTACGAGACTCTTAAAGTTTAGTTTGAATATTGTTAATTGTTCATGATCTTATAAACATATACATATATGTTATATACATCTTATATAACATATAGATCTACGTAACATAATACACATTATATAGACTGCACAATAATATTGAGCAATTTAAATATTGTTGAACAATTCCCAAACTTCTCAACAATTGTTAAATTAAAATTAATCCAATAGACAACAAGTTATTCACTGGTGGCTTAAGAGACCACTAGGTTTTATCTCCTGTCACTCAAAGGAAATCTTTTTTTTTTTTAGAAAATACTTTTATATAAAAAAACATTTAATGGGGCAAAAGTGTAAAATTGAGGGGTCTTGGCCCATATTAGGGAGTTTAGGCAATTTTTTGAGCGATTGCAAATATTTTTTATTTTAAATGCATTGGATTCCTTAATATATAATTCCAAAAAGGATTCAACCACTTATTTAGTTATATATATAGCTTATTTAGTTCTGAAGATATACGTATTTTAATATTTTCTTTTCATAGATTTTTTATGAAATATTTTCTTAAAGTATATCGTTAAATTTTTGGCACCAAAAAAAAAACTTTTTTATAGATTTTTTTTCTTGGGTAAAAAGTCCGTTAACAAAGTTTTATTTTTTATTTTATTACAAACTTAATAAAATAATAAAATTTTACTAAAATTTAAATCGTAAATCTAAATTAATAACAATTTATAAATATAAAATTTTTTAACAGTAGAATATGTTTTAAACTTTTTTAACATAACTTTTAAACAATTTTTAAATGTTTTAATTTATAATTTTAATTAATAATTTATATATATATATATATATATATATATATATATATATATATATATATATATATATATATATATATATATATATATATATATATATATATATATATATATATATATATATATATATTATAAAAATATTTTTAAATTGAACAAAATTGGTACATATATTATATGTACCAATTATAATTATAATTTATATTATATACATATCAGATATGATTCATACCATTTATAAAAATAAAAACCACTGTACTCAAACGCAGTAAAACAAATAATTGGAACATAATAAAAAAAAAAAAAAAGGTTAATACATACTACAACATAATTCTAAATTTTCATTAAATAAAATTACTTCACAATACTAGCTAAAATAATTAAGATCACCTTTTTCAAAATTAATAAAAGAAATTACCATACTTCATCAGGTTTGTTATCATACTTAACAAAGTATGTGGTTCATTTAGCGTTTAATTGATCAATTTGTACCACCTATGCCTATTCAACAGAATCTTCTTCTCTAACACGATGTTGTGTAGAAAAACTACAAAATCAGATGGATTGTTAATAAATTTTGATAAGGAATAATTTTTTTGTTGCTCGATTAATTTGTATAGTTTTGTATCCTGAATTTTTTTCATTAATTTTTTTTTTTTTGCTTTCAACACGCATTATGCAAGGTTTTAATTTATTACTTATATTACTAAAAGATTGTTTGTTTGGAATTTGCTCGAATGACAATAAGAAGACTTTGATGTAATTCCACTGAAGACAAGTTTATTGTTTTGCTTCCTTCCAGCTTTGTTTTACAAAATAGATTTTTGTCACATTCGACACCTAAGATTATGCAATAAAGATTTAGTTGAGAAAGGTGCGCTTTTGCCTTTAACGGCTCTTCTATATTGCATACCATTTTACGCATCTAATAAATTTTAAAGTATTGCATATCTTTAAATTTTTTTTTTTTTTTAATCCATCATAGATTCTATTTTCCTTTTAAAATTTTATTAACTTTTTTGTTTTCGCTCGTTGGTATTGTTTCTTTAGGAATTTCAGATGCATTCAGTGTATTGTTAGGAACTTGCCACATGTGGAACTTGCCACAGGTTAGAAACTTGCCATAGGTGGAAAAAAAAGGCTACACCTAATAATTTAAATAATAATTTCTTGTTGTTTCTTTATTTTTCTGATGGCGTCAACTAATCTATTTATCTTTTTGGCAAAAAACTTTCTTGCAGCAAAACAGTTTAATATTGAAATCCAAGCAACCTCTTCAGTATATTGCATGATAAGATGTATAAATGTCAAATACCAATCATAAATACTTTCATTGATCATTTTATCTAAACAAATATAAAATTTCCAATCATCATTTCCAACAAATATATAAATTTATATAAATTTGAAAATGTGTGAAAAATCTTTAGATGTTTACTTGTTAAAGAAAATCGGTAAGTTTACCTTATCGTGTTTTGATTGCACTCAAAAATATCTAAAGACGGGGGAAATTTAAAAAATCTCCGTTTAGAAAACAAAAAAACCACCCTATTAAACTTTTTAACCAAAAAAAAAAAAAAATACCGAAACTTATTCACATATTAAATAAATAGGTGCAAAATCTATTATTATGAGGTTACAAAAGAAATATCTTGACTTGTATTTGAACAAAACTGAAACATTCAAAGTTAAATAGTTCTAAAGCAAAACGTCGTCCCCAAACAAATTATTGTAGTACATCTTTTTTTAAAAAAAAAAGATGTACTACAATAATTTAGGTGGGTAAAGGGTAAAATTGAGGTCTGTGCCTATTTTTTAAAAGTTTTTTTTAATTTAGAAAATGTTAAATTATACTTAGTTGCAACAGTTTAACAAAAGCAAGAAACTTTTTCAATTTTTAACTCTTTCATACACTAAACTATAGATCTAAGTGAAGAAAACTTAGATGTAAAGACTCTTTTCTATATACCCAAGACAGTTTACTGAACAGTGTGAAGGTTTCATTTTAAATTTAATCCTACATGAAATGATTTTAAACATATAGAAGTGTATACTCAACATCGAGAGGGACTCTCTAGTTCCTTTAGCGTTTAATTTTTAAGAGTTAATTTAATCCTTAAGAGTTTGATTTAGCGTTAACTTTTACATGCTGTTTTTAAGCAGGCTAAAAAATTATTCGATTTTTGTTGGATGATGTGCCATGTTTACATTACTATTGTAAATATTTGAAAATATTTTTGGAAGTTTTAAAATTTGCTTAAGTTAATTGAATTTTGATTATTTTTTTTGTAATGGAAATCTAAAATACTTAAATGGACTCAAACCCCCTTAAATTTACCTTTTGCTACCATTTGTAACCATTATCATTTTTCCCAATTTTATTAACGCTTTTTTCCCTTTTTATAGAACAAATACTCTTAAATAAAAAAATAAAACTTTTTTTGTAACGTGCATTTAAAATGCTTAAATAGGCCAAGAACCCTCAGTTTTACCCTTTTGCCCCATTTATTACTCTTTGCGCTTTGTTTAAATTTTAGAAAAACACTTTTCTGTTGTTACAAAACAAATTCTCTTGTCTATCGTTTGGTTGTCTATTTGTTGGTTTTGTTTGAGTGATATGACATTAAAACTGGCGGTTTCGTTGGCTACTAGTGCGTTATCTATTAAAAAGCAAAACTGTTCAAATTTGCCCACAGATCGCGTAAAAGCTTTGCTCTAATCATTTAAGATTTTCAGACTCTGATATAAAGTTTAAACTTGCAGTTGTTTTTTTAAGCTTATGATATTTTCTATGTGACAGACAAGATCATAAAAGCAAATTTTGAATATATGGTTCAGAGCTTGATAAAACCTAAGTTTATTTACCGAATGTTACCCTTTCAAATCAATATATATATATATATATATATATATATATATATATATATATATATATATATATATATATATATATATATATATATATATATATATATATAACAATATCTACATATCTACAGTAAAAACTAACTATCTGTTTTTTTGTTTAACAAAAATTATATTAATAAATTTACACATGGTAACATTTCACAAAGTAAATACATTACTACTTGTTTTCATTTATTTATTATAAATGAATATTTAAGCAATGTAAAAAAAAAAATACTTAAATGCGCTGGAGATATGCGATTCCAAAGTACTTGAAGCTAGTATCGAAAAAAATACTATACGATATGATGCTAAAATTGATGGCATTGTTGCGATATAATAACTCGACATAATTCAAGATAACAAAGCAAACATTCTTATTTACAACTAACCTCGAAACAAGACAAGGTATTGTTTCGAGGTTAGTTGTAAATAGGAATGTTTGTTTTCGCCTAAAATTTTAATGGAAACTACTTTAGTAATTCTTACAAATAAAAATTAATTTGATTATTTCATATTAGTTTACCTGACAAAGTTTAAAAGATAACCAAAGACAAAATAATCAAACATTTGAACTTTAATTTATAGCAAAATTTTAATGAATTTAACACTATTTTATAAAACTTTTTAAATTAGTTCATTCATACGCTTCAACATTTTCAATATCTAAATATCGTTGGTACTGCTTTCATATTTAAAAAGAAATTTACAATTTTTTTTATCTCGGTAAATTCTCAAAATACATTGCGACATTTTTAACATCTAAAGGCAATGGTAGATGACACCTTCAATTTATTGGTATCTTAAAAACCAGAGGTGAAACGTGACGAATTACATTTATTCACGTTAATGCAATTGAGTTGTTTATTTATGTATTTCTACTTTTTTAGTAATTTTTCTAAATTTCTTTTGCATGTACTTAAGTTTTTTTATGTTTTGTACTTTGCTATATTTTAAATTATGTACGTTACTGAGCTAAAATCTTATTACGTATCAGTATTGTTTGATTTCACAAATAATATGATTTAATATTTTTTTTGTTGAAAAAACGCGTCTTTTATAACTTTGATTACTTAAGTTTCAATTAATGTTTTCATGAGTGTTGCAATTAGCTAGAAAATTTACGAGTAAATTTTGAAAAAAATACCGTCTGATAAATTTTGTCACTTTTTATTAAAAATGAATACGAAACTAATTGTTCAATAAAATATATAATGTTCAAAATGTATTAAAAGCTTTGCTTTATCATATCATATGTCATTCCAGTCTGAACAATTAGCAAATCAATCAGCACATACGTCGGCACCAAACAAAAGCAATCTTCATCAGAACAAATCAAAATCTCTCCACTGCTTCTATACCAATGCAACTTCACTTAATAAAGACAAAATTACTGAACTTTAATTATTAGCTGAACAAAACAAATATGATCTAATTTTTATAACTGAAACTTGGCTCAATTCTACTTCTGCTCCATCAATCAATAACTATATGCTATTTAAGAAAGATAGAATTAGTTACGGAGGTGGTGTAGCAATTTATGTTCGAAATGATATAATGGCATGTGAACTAGACAATTCACAGCTAAATAAAAACTTTAAATGCAAAGAATCTGAACAATTTTGGGTTGAAATAAAGTTACCATCAAAAAAATTTCTAGTAAGTTGTATTTATTGCCCTGAGAGAAACTCACCAACTGCTTCAGTGCAAATAAATGAAATAATTTGTGCTCTTGGTTACGCTAGAAACTTAGTTGATACAAAAGTATATAATGACTTAATTGTGACAGAAGACTTTAACTTTCCAGGCATAACTTGGCAGTTTGACTGAAGTATTACATCTGACAATGAAAATAGTCTTGAATACAGGTTCAATGATGCTCTCTGTAACAACCACCTCTACCAGCATGTCAAATGTCCAACTTTTATAACAACTGATGGAAATCTTAGCAACACACTTGATCTAATTATATCAGAATCAAAAGATAGAATCAACAAAGTTTTAACAGGGCCTTGTCTTGGTACAGCTTCTTAAGGGCATATATCTCTAGCTGGCAGCACAATTTAAGCAGTAGTAATCAAAATAGTTTTAATAGCAAAAAAAATTCCTTTATAAATATGGTAAATATGATGAAATAAACACTTTTATAAATAACATAAATTGGCAAGCTAGTTTTATGGATCATGATGTTGAGAAATGTTATTCCATGGTCTAACCTCTATAATGAAGCATGCCATAAGTTTATTCCAAAAGCATCAAAAAATACTGCCAAAAAAAGGCAAACCTGGATCACAAACAAGTTAATAAAGCTAATTAGACTAAAAAAATAAGCTCTGGCACAAAAATGCAAACTCAAAGTGGAAAAATGCAGCGCACATCACAGAGTATACAGCTCTCAAAAAGGAAGTCAAAAAAAAAAAAAAAATAGAAAACGAGCATTACGTGTCTATGAGTCAGAGCTAGCTAACGACAAGCACAATCCAAAAAGACTATTTGCATATATTAATAGTAAACGGATAGTGAGCAATCAAATATCAGCCTTAATCTCAGTTTCAAACCAAATAAGCAGTGATGGAATAACAAAAGAAAACATTCTCAACAACCAATTTCAATCAGTTTTTACAAAGGAACCACTGACCCAGCCACTAAAACCTTTTGCGTCCAAAACAAATGTTTTAGCTTTGGATATAACAATTGACCAAAACATAATTATCAAACACCTTAATATGCTTGATGGAAATAAGACAATGTGTGATGATAACATTTGTTTGTTTTAAAAGCATGTGCCACATCAATGGCAGTTCCGCTAACTTTGGTTTCGTTTGGTTTGGTTTTAAAAAAGACTTGCATCACAAATCTTTTAGAAACAATGGGCTTTTTGACTTTTAGCAAAGAAAAAACCAGTCGACCTAATTTTTCTTGACTTTGCAAAGGCATTTGATAAAATTTCGCATGTAAGATTGCTGCAAAAGCTTGAAATGTATGGTATAAATGGCAATCTTCTAAACTGGATAAAAGCCTTCTTAACAAACCGCAAGCAGCGTGTTATACTTGGAGAATCAAAATCTGACTGGATTGATGTAACTAGTGGGGTTCCCCAAGGTTTTGTGTTAGGACCTAGGCTCTTTATCATATTTGTTAATGACCTGCCAATTCATGTCAAATCAGCCATTCGCACAATGTATGCAGGTGACACAAAGCTCATGAAAGTTGTTGAAAATGATGAAGACCGAGCAGGTTTACAATCCGATCTAAACAAGATTGTTAAATGGACGCAAACCTGGCTAATGGAGTTAAATGTAAAAAAATGTGAAGTTATGCATGTAAATTCTGGAACAATAAAATTTGATTATATTATGGATGAAATCAAAAATGACGGTACAACCAATAGAGTAGTTTTAGAAGTCACAAATTCTGAAAAAGATCTCGGAATTCTAATCTCCGAAAATTTTAAATATGCTCAACAGTGCAATATAGCTGCAAACAAAGCAAATAATATGCTTGGAATTCTTAAACATACGTTTGTATCAAGAGACATTGACATTTGGAAAAAAATTTATACTGCATACATTAGACCACATCTAGAGTTTGCCATACAAGCCTGGAACCCTTACCTTGATAATGACATAAAAAAAAAATTGAAAAGGTACAACGCAATGCCACGAAAGTTCCTTATGCTTTGAAAATAAAGACTACAAAACTCGATGTAAAATCATGAAATTAACTACTCTTGAAGACAGACGGAAAAAAGGCGATCTTATTCAAAAATATAAGCTTCTCAATAATTTAAACCCAATTGATTGGCACGTAATGCCTGGCAGCATAGCACCCAGAGCTCAACATCGAATCAGATTTCATCGCGAGATTGTCAGAAACTGCGAAGTCAGAGATAAGTTTTTTAACAACCGTGTAGTCAATGACTGGAATGTTTTGCCAGATAATGTCATCGAGGCAACATCACTTGATACATTTAAACAACTACTAGACAGTTTTCAGTCATCATAGTTGCTACAACTCATCATTTACCGTAAATACCACACAAAAGTGGCCGAAATACGAGTTGGGTATAGATGCTCAGCTGATGATGAGTATAACAAGGCTGTGGCTTTGTGTAACTTAAATTAACTAACTAACTAACTTATCACATGTAATTAGCTTTTAAAATATATATTTCACGAAATGTACGCTTGTACAATCTATTGAACTATTCTTTAACACAACTTTGTATTTTATGCGTTTTTAACTTCTCTAAATAAGAACACTTTTAATCACACCATATTGAAGCGTATAAAACAGTGAACAAACATATAAAACTTAAACTTTTAAAAAACTTGAAAAAAGACAACATGAAAAAAGAGTATCTGGTCTAAACCAAGGAAAAAATAGTCTCTATTAAAAATAATATCAAGACAAAATGGCAGGACTGATGCTAAGTTGGTCCAGCCGGTGCTCGGTGTCATTAAGTGTAAATTATAAAAATTTCGGAATTTTAAAAATAACATTTTGCCTAAAATAAGAAATATTGATACCATAAATACTACCAATATTTTTTATTTTAGGAAAAATGTATATATATACATATATATATATATATATATATATATATATATATATATATATATATATATATATATATATATATATATATATATATATATATATATATATATATATATATATATATATTTATATATATATACATTCAATTTCTTTTTCATTCTAACCATATAAAAATACCTCCTGATTTACCTTCGCTAATTATAGATACTAAAGAAATAGAGAGAACCCAAGCAACTAAATTTCTAGGGATACTTATTGATGAGAACATCTCATGGAAATCACATATAGATATATTAACTACCAAAATATCAAAAAACATAAGTATCGTTTACAAAGCTAGTTCTATACTGTCTCCTGACAATTTAAAGCTCCTATACTTCTCGTTCATACAAAGCTACTACATATACGCTAATGTTGCATGGGCGAGTACTCATAAATCCAAACTAACTACACTATATCGGAAACAAAAACATGCTGCTATAATAGTTTTTAAGAAGGATAGATTCTCGCAAGCTAAACCACTTTTAAAAAATTTAAAAGCATTAAATGTATATCAAATCAATATATTCCAAAATTTGTTATTTATGCTCAAATATAAACTTGGACTTGTTCCTTTTCACTTTTTAAAGAATTTCTTTAAAAATAACAAAAACAGATGCCATACCAGAGGAACGGGAAACTTCAACGTACCTTATAAAAAACTAATCTCTCTCGCTTTTCTATTTCATACCGTGGTCCTTGTCTATATAACAAATTAATATCCAAAAACTCGCAACTGGAAAATCGAATAACTTAAATACTCTGAAAAAGTTATTAAAAGATCTTATTTTAAACACGAACAACTTTATGAATTTTTATTAACCCAAAAACATTTCAATTTATGTATATAACTAACTCTCTCCGAAACCAATGTAATCTCTAATAACTCTAAAAAACTTTAAATAACTCGAAAACAATAACAACAAAAAATGATAATAAATAATATGCTTATTTATCAACACGTGAACTATATTACCTATTTAGCACATCGTGTACCTACTTATATTTATGTGTATTGTAATAAAATTAAAAAAATTAAAAATTTTTTGTCTACATTCTTTGTTTTTATTTTTTGCATTTTGCATTTTTATTTTTATTTTGCCGAAACTCATAACATTATTTTTTAAATATGAACTTATTTTAAATTGAAGTATTTAAAAATATTATTAACGCTTAGCGGTTTCTTGATGACAAGACTATCAGTCTTCTGCAAGTTTCCCGCGTTCTTTAAAGTAATTTTTAATACGTTATATTTTATAGTTTATTTTATTCATTTTTTGTAAAACGTATATTTTTTTTTTAAGTTTTACTATACTCTATGAATAATTATATTATATATTACGAAATCGTAAAAATTAAAGAACAAAAAATTTAACATATATATATATATATATATATATATATATATATATATATATATATATATATATATATATATATATATATATATATATATATATATATATATATATATAGACACACACACACACACATTTATATATATCTATATATTTAGAATCTGTCTTTATTAATCAAACTATACAACTGTCACAACTAAGTGTTCTAGCAACTTTAAAAAATTTCTACAAAGATTTTGTTTTATCATTTGAAGTCTACACCCCGAAATCTAAGAAAGAGTTAAATGGTAACATTGTTCAGTTGCTTGATAGTGACTACAACGAATGTTGTCCTTTGGCTCACTATTTCTCCGGACGCTTAAAGATATATTCAGGAACAGGCAGTCAATTCTTTGTGTCAAAGCAAAGAGTTGAAGTAAATAATTGGCATTCAGTTCAAGTTCAACAAACTTCTATAAATGACAAGTACAACAATATTATCACTATAAATGGGAAAGTTGTAACTTCCACGGTTAATTATGAACCGCAGGATCTTTTTAATATCACTATGTATGCATGTCTTGATCCCTGTCCAGCAGGAGCAATTAGAAACATAAACATAAGCAGTGAGACCAAAGGTATTTTTATAATTAATTTGTATAAAACCATTTATAAGTCATTTAATTTACAGATTTTGTAAAACTAAATTTTAATGATCTAAAAAAATCTTTTTGTAAAATGAAAAATTTCATCTAAATATGCTAAATTATTGCTATATATGTCACCGATTTGTTTTATTTTTGAGATTTTAAAACATCAGACCAATAAAGAACCTGCAAAGGCTTTAATATCACACATTAAAGCTAAGATAAATTTAATTATATCAACATTATTTGAAATTTTGGAGGTCTCTGGGATGGATGCACCGTATTTTTTGTTATTGAGGTGATTAATTTCCAGATCTGAAGTCAAACTCGAAATATGTTTTGAAAAAAAGGGTCTGATTTTAAAAATCAATATTCTTCTTTTTACAATGCAATGTTTTGCAAAAGATTGCGATGATTAAAGTCTAGAAATAAAAAAAACCTAAAACAATATCTTCTGCAAATTTTTTACAATTTGAACGGAAAATTTTTTTTGCAATAATTTGTTCTGTTTCAAAAAACATATCCGTATTAGGTTTTAAACTCCTAAATTTGAAGGGTTATAAAAATGGTACATCCGCCCCTGGGTCTGTAAACACCTCTAATTTAATTTTTTTCATTGTAAGTCAGTCTTAAATTTTTAACTTTCATTTTTGAGTTTCTATTTTATAATTTTATTTAATATTCTGTATATATTTTGATAAATATTTTTAAATGTTGTTAATTTTTTATGTGTATATTTTTATTTTAAAAAATAGTATTTATTAATAGTCTTATGTTAAATAGTTTTAACCTTTTTTTTCTTAATTTTTATAAAAAGTTATACACGCTGTACGTTCAAAAGTAGCAGTTGTAACGCAGAGGCTGAGTGCAGAAGTTAGAGCATTGACAGAATCAAAATATCGTAAATTTGATGCCTTTTCTAGCTATAAAAGCAACAAGACGATAGGAAAATTCTCATTAAATGATTTTTTGTCATCCACTATGAAAAAGCCGTAAGGCTTTTTTATATCACCTTGAATACTATAGTATTCAATCATCTTTTTTATCATCACATGCTCTAGTATTCAATCATCTTTTTTATCATCACATACTCTAGTATTCAATCATCTTTTTTATCATCACATACTCTAGTATTCAATCATCTTTTTTATCATCACATAATATAGTATTCAATCATTTTTTTTATCATCACATACTCTAGTATTCAATCATCTTTTTTATCATCACATACTATAGTATTCAATCATCTTTTTCATCATCACATACTCCAGTATCCAGTACTAGATTTTAGATCAGCTTAAATACTATAGTAATCAATTTATAAATTGAAAAAGGAAGGATTCAAAAAAAAAAGTGTCTTAAAAGTTTTTTAATTAATTTAATTTCTTTTTTTTTGCTTTGATATAAAAAGTTCTTGTTAACTGAAGAAGTTTACCAAAAATTGTTCAAGTTAATAGATGTTGGAGTATTCTAAAGTTCAAAGATTTAATTGAAATTTATAAAAAAAAGATCATAGAACAAAAAAAAAAAAAATTTAATTAGTTATTTTACAGCTGTTGTTGTTTATATTGATAAATTTTATGTTTTTTTATGTTATTTATGTTTTATAATTAATTTTAAATTATTAACTTTTCATTTTTTAAAATTGCTTATTTACAAATTAGTTGTTAATTCCAACTTTATTAAACAAGGTTAAATTTACAATAAAAAAATTATAATATTTAATTATGGTAAAATAAATAAACTAAAATTATATAATTTTGAACACAAAATTAATATTATTAATAAAAACAGAAAAAAAATCTTTTACGATCAAAATTAGGAGATAGAACCTTATAATTGTCATTTACCGATGCTATTTTGTCTTATACCAATTTATATTACATTGAATAATACATATTGAAAATTTTATTAAATAATAAATAACGTGTGTTCTAAGCAGTCAATATAAGTAATTTAATATTTTAATCTTTTAATTTCACGATTTAAAAAAATTTTTGCTTTTAATTTTAAAACTTTACAAAACGTTACAAAATGGAAGATAAAACCCTATTATTCTAACTTCACGATTTATAAAAGTTTAAAACATTTTTTTTTTTATCTGTTATGTTTTGTCTGAAAAAATAATAAAACATGACCAGGACAAACAGAAATTTTTTGTTTTATTGCTACGCCCCGTAAAGCGTTTGTAACCCGATGTTCATTTTTTAAAAAGCGTAAATGGTGAAGTTATTGTGAATCAAGGAGAATAAAATAACTTTTTTTTGAATTTTACGTTTTAATAGAAAACGAGAAGAACAAGTTTTAGGTTATTATTTAATAAAGTAATTTAAAATTTAGAATCTTTAGATAGAGTACAACGGATTAAATCCGCCTCCTTTATTTACAATGTCGCTTAGGGATATCCACTTTGTCAGTCATGTTGGATTTTTAATACACAGTATGTCTAAAAATAATATTAGGGTATGATATTATTAGTGTAGAATTTTTGTTTTTGTGTTTGCATTACGGCTAGTATTGGCGCCATCTGTTTTAAATTTTGTATTTGAACTTTTTTCGAGAAAGTTAGGGCGTTTTCAAGCAACTGGCGCTAATAGAATCTACCAACCAAGATGAAAAATAAACCTCTTACAGCAACCAGATGAACTTCATTAATAGATAAAGAATTAGTGTAAGAATTATTTAAGTTTTATAACCTATTTTATTATTTCTAAAAAGCAAAAAAATTATAAAACAGCAAAACAAGAGGTTTACAAACTTTTTACAATGACCAAAAAAAATAACAAAGTTTTATTTTTTGATTGGTTCTTGTTTTCTCACAACAGCAACTTAATTTTTTTTTTTTTATTTTTACTAAATCCAACTTTGGTTTTTTACAAATATTTACATAAATTTATAAAAACAATCCACAAATATACTATAAAAATTGTCATTAAAAAACCCCTTAACATATTAACAAATTTATTAATTGAGAGAAATGTGAATCAAAAACTACGTAATCGCCATAAATTGTTTTAGAGCTTTCTACAGTGAAACTATGCAATTGATATCAATTGTCATCATTTAAAAAAAAAATTAATTGATAAATATTTAAATATTAATTAGGTTTTTAAATTTAATTAGGTTTTCCTTAATCAAGTAGGTTTGTTATAAACTATTATATTATTTTGTTTGTATTATATGTTTATTAAAATATTATTAAATAATTATGTTAATAAAATAGGTTTTTAAAATAAGATAAAATGGAGCAAAATTATTAATCCCAAAATCTTTAAAATAAAATAAAATAAAACAAAAAATGACAACAAGGGTATCTAGAAATGTCATTAGGCTTACAACTGAGGATTCCAGTAAAGAACATGTAAAAGGAAAAAAAGGAAAGAAACCAAATATTCCTAAATGGTCTACTCGTAGAACAAAATTCCTTGTAGGGGCTACCTTGGAAAAGATAAAGAGAAACCAGCTTCCTCTGAGGAAGCACATTATTCAACACTACCTGCTCCTAAGAGAATGATTTCCAAAGATAGCGCTGAAACGTTTAATTGTTTTTCCGCTTGTAAACAAAACATTTAGGGTAGCCTTTTATTTTTCTCATCAATATAAGTGAAAATTTTTAGCAATATATATAAGTAACATCAAAAATATTTTTGGCTTACATCAAATAAAATATCTGTAATGTATTTAGACACACTCCGACCAGGGAAGAATGTTTGAAGAATATTAATAGAATATTATTCAAAAAAAGCTTTTCGTTTAGATTATTGTGCATTGAAGATAGTGTTTATTGAGAATTTGGTTGTACTATTTCTGGAATTTTGGTTCCATGGAGAAGGACAGGCTTCAGGGTCATTTCTGATAACAACCTGAAAGCCTAAATTGAGAATTATGTAAAAAAGTATAAAATAGTAAAAAAATCTTAGTACAATGTGGGAGTTGGTTTTAATGGTAGTCGAAAAAAGTTTAAGATATCTTTAGAAGGTAACAGAAATAAAGAAATGCCTAAAATGGACATAATTTAACATATAAGTCAAAATTTAAAATATAGAAATAATACAAACTGTTGTGAATTAAAAGTAAACTTTAACTAGAAAATTTTTCACTATTGGGTACTTATGTGTTTCAATAAAATGAACTGAATAACCCTTAGCAGTTCTTTTTTATATTATATATAACCCACATCAACATTTTTTTAAAACTTTTGACAAAATTTAGATACGCAGTTTTTTTTTATAGGATTGATTTGGGTGGGTGATGATTTAGAAATTCTTCACAGAAGTTTGGAGTCTAATAGACGCATAATGATATCGGACAAGGAAGGAGATTTACTTTTTATTCAAGACCAGATGGAAAGCCAAAAAATCGTGAAAGGAGAACTTGATGGTCATTTTGAGCAGGTCAGTGCGAGAGCAAAATGATGAGAAAGTCAAAAAAAATCTTCTGTACAGACAAAAACAGAAATATCGGCAAGATTTTTAACTGAAAATAAAGCTAGTTTTAATAATTGTGAACTTGAGTGTACTGATCAAAGTTTTGATGATGAGGGTTTTGGTATAACTCGACTTAAAAGGAAGAAAACTGCTAAATGTCAGGTTCTCATATTCGCTAGAGATATTGTGTCAAAAACTGCTAGAACTGCAATTGGAATGGGAATTTTCATCAATCAAGCAAAAGCACTTTATAAGTTCTGTTGTTACTTGTGCTGGTGGAAATATTAATGGTATTACATTATTCCTCAGCTTCGGTCACAGAATAACTGACAAAATCATACGGGAGGATGCAGCTATTTTGAGAGGTAATATAAGTAAAATGATTACCAAGACCAATACACCATTAATTTTACATTTTGATTGGAAAATCATTAGGGATTTTATAGGTGCAACAGATGAGACATAAGACCGTCTGTGTGTTTTTATAAGATTTAACAATGAGACCCACCTTCTTGGTGTGCCAGGATTGGACCATGGAACAGGAGAGGAACAATTTTTAGCTATACATAAGTTACTTGATTCTTTTCAAATTGGTTCATTCATGAGATATGCTTTGAGACACTACTGCTTCAAATGCTGGTCGTCTCAAAGGAGTCTGCACAAGGTTGGCTAAGTTTCATGGCCGGAAATTACTTATAATGGCTTGTAGACACCATGTAGGGGAAATTCGCATCAAGTATTTTTTTGATGCTGTGGCAACTCACAAAACGTTTAGTCCCCAAAAACTATTGTTTAAATCACTAAAGCAGTATTGGCAAGAGGTTGACGGGAATCAAGTAAAAGAGTTAATCAAATTCAATCACCAAAAGTTCATTGGTACCTGGGTGGAGAAGCAAGCGTGCTAAGCAATGAAAACCTCCAAACACCTTAAGGACCAAGGTATATTGAGGTAAGTTAAAAAATTAAATTTTAAGTACTAAAAACAAGCAATAGCTTTATGTACATCTATACTTGATACTGTTATTTATAAAATTTTTATTATTTCTATTTTTTTATTAGACGTTGAATAAACGTGGTGAATACTACTAATTAGCTGAGCTTTTAATTATGTATCTTGATAAAGATCAGGCTACCAGGTATAGCATTTTCAAAACTGGAGCTATCTCACATGCAAGATTTATGGGCAAGGCTCTTTACTTAATGAAGTTTGAGCTACTGCTGCCAAGGATCAGACTGAGTGAAGGAATTATCAAATTGATTAATTGGATGGTTGAGTATATTGCACTGTTCTGGGCTCCATGGTTTTTAACATGCAAGTTTACAGATTCTACTGCCTCTCAAGTTCGGTATATAAATTAACTTCTTAAATTACCATAGTAGTTAAAATGTTAATAACTTAAATAACAACACCTAAGTTTTCTATAGAATCAGATGAACTACTGGCTGATGTGCCACTATGCTAAATTGGAGCCTGCAGTCAAAGTTATTGTCAAATCATGGTAAAATCATACCAGGTACCTAGATCCATCTACAGTTATAATGTTGCTAACCTGTTCCGACAGTAGCCATTACAAGGGCATGGAAGAAATGGCAAAGTTGCTATACTTAACCGAAAGAGATGACAATAACAATAATGAAGTTATGAGAGTCAGAGCAGTTCTTCCAGATGCTGCCAGTGTTTTGCAGCAATATGTTTTGAAAACTGGAGGGTCATGTCTAAGCTTATAATTAATATTTATCATAATTTCTTGTTTCTACTTTTACACAGTGGGGTCATGGCTCCTTGCTCTCCCAATTGCCAATTTAACATAAGGTGAAGAGCCCCAAGGTAACCACAACACGCTCGTAAAATCCACGTTTTAAAATTCTGGAATTGTCATTTTCTTTTGCCCTTTACTAGTTCTCTGTGCCCCATCCTACCCACAACTCATCCAAAACATCAATTCACTACAGCAGGAGTTGGGGGAGGGGGGTTTGTTCCATGTTCCCGGCGTATAACACTTTGTAAACTCTTAATCCTAGAAATGGAGTTAAGATGGAAAATATTTTTAGAAGCAATGGAAATAAATGTGTTTATTATTTATACACTCTATTTGATTAAAACATGATATTATATTGATTTTTAAGGTTTTGTTTTAACTAGATAGGTCCATTATATGTAAGAAACTGTAACACACTAATTCTTATTTGTTAGTTCAGACTATAACATACAAATTAAAATATTTTTTTTAATAATTTAGAATAAGGATACTATTCGCGTCAATCGTCAAAACTTGGTGTAAAATTGGTCAAAATGAACAAAAAACGAAACTTTTGACTTGTGGCGCTAATACTTCCAGCCATTTTCCCATTAAAATTTTTTTTTTCATATGTAAATATGACCTCTGCGCCACTCATATACAACACTGTGTATTAAAATTCCAAAATGACCGACAAAGTGGATATCCCTATTGTTGCTTATTAAGTTAGAGCCGGCTTTGAAACACAAACCTCTTGGTTCTGAGCAAGAACTCTAACAACTGCGGCGCAGCTGCATTTTTGGTTGTTTATAGTTGTAATTTGAAAATCTTGTAGGGTATATGTAATTAATTTTATTGAAATTTGTATTAAATAGTATTGGAATTTATTAAAATTAATTATAAAATTTAAATTGTTTCAGGAATTTGGTATCATTGGAGTGGTTGGACTACTTGTGATAAAAGTGGGAAGACTAAAAGATCGCGTCTTTGTGATAACTCTTGTGGAAAATGTGTTGGAAATAATACTGAAACAATTTCTTGCCCCAAATAATCACCTATTTTTTAACTTTTAACTTCTAATTTCTTCTTATTATATAAAAATAGCCATAAATACATTTGTTTAATATATCCATAATGTATTAAAATAACTCCAAGTTTAAATAAGTTATTTTAATTTGTTTGAAAAAAGAGTCCAAGAAAACATTGTTGTCCTCTTTTATTTGAATTGTTCATTTGTACTTTTTAGATTTACATCGTTTTATTTGAGCCTTTTATGTATGAAGCCATTCGTCTGAACTTTTTATTATGTCCATTTTTATTTGAACTTTTTATATATGCACCCTTTTTATTTGATCATTTTATACTTGCACACTTTTTGGTTGTTAATCATTTTATAAATGCATTCATCTATTTGAACTTTTTATATTTGTATCCTTTTTGTGATATAATTGCGCCTTTTTATTTGAATTATTTATTCATATATAATATTAAATAAACCTTTATACTTTTTTTTTTCAGAAAAAAGTTCAAAAATGATTTTTTGGACGTTATGAAGCTGATTTTTTAATAAATATCATATCTATATTGTATATTAAATAACGTATGTGTGTGTGTGTGTGTGTGTGTGTGTGTGTGTGTGTGTGTGTGTGTGTGTGTGTGTACGTATATATTTATAAATATAACCAAAAAAGTGTGTGTGTACGTATATATTTATAAATATACACTCACAGCCATTAAAAATATGACAAGTTACTACATAATAATCAATACTAATGTTCTTTGGATTTTAATATAGAAGTTGTAAAACAATTATTGATTTTTTTACTAAATTTGACGACGAATAAAAACTGTGTTCACATTACTCTGTATTTACATCTTAAGTCGAGCGTTACACTATTAAGTGGAGTGTTAGTCAAACAAATTCAATAACGTTATTTCAATTTTGGATATTTTTAAAAGTTCATCAATATTTATACTAACACAATAAATGAAAATAAAAAAAAATAATATAGATAAAATTAATTTAAATTATGTTTTTGAAGAGCTTTTTAAGTTATTAAGTAAAAAAAAAATTTTCAACTTGTGGGTTTGTTTGATTTAACGGAAAGTTTACAACTTATATGTATTATATTAAATAAAAAGAATTTTATAGAGTAGGTAAATGTCTATAAATTGTAAACTCCTATGTAAATTGTATCTTATAAATTCTTATAAATTGTAAATTCTTATAAATTGTAAATTCCTATAAATTGTAAATTCCTATGTAAATGCCTATAAATTGAAAACTCCTGATTTGTGAAAGTTTTTAAATATTAATGAAAAATATGTGTAAATATAATTTATAAAAGATTTTACACATTTTATGTCTTGATTATTTTTTCGTTTTTAAAGATTTTAACTAACAGTTATATTTTTTAACTTTGCAATTTTTAATTATTATCTAATTGGTAGTAATTGCGTTTCTAATTTGAAATTAACCAGTCGTTAGACGAAATTAACCGGTCCTTATTCGAAAATACCCTTTGGTTTTTGTTAAGGGTGAGTATATTTTATTATAGTCTATTCGCACGTTTAAAAAAAATTTAAGTTAGATTTTTAATATAAAATCTCTCACAAACCAAAAATATTTATAACTTAATTCATATTTTGAAAGCAAATTAATTTTTTTAATCAATTATAATAAAAATAAATAAAATTACTTAAACATAATTAAATTTTTATTCAAAAAACAAACAAAAACGTGCAAATAGGTAAAATAAACATTAGGAAATACTTCTTAATGTTTAAATACATACCCAGCAAGCACACCCATGCGGGATCCTTACGGTTTTAATCTGGGCATCCGGTACGAGGTAAATCTGGTAATTTTCAATGGGGTTTATCTGGTTCCTTTTTGGGATTTTCCGGATGCGCGCACAGCCATGAGAAAATTTCTGAAACTTAAGACAAGTTAGCGCTATATATAAATATCTAGAATGTTCTTTTTAAAGATAAAGTAAAATTTCCAACTTTCTATATTTAACTGTCATAAGTTAACAAAGAACGAAACGACGAAAAATTGCTGCGGTGGTGGCAAAAAGTGCTTTTTTAGTAACAAATCAATTCATGAAATATTTGTGGAGGATAATAAAGTTGACGAAAGTTTGTATTAAGGTTCAAGCTTGAATTAATGCCAAATGGAAAACGATTATTACTTTATGAAAGTCAAGATTAGCTTGCACATTCTAATGATGATTCTAATAACGAAGAACTAAACGCAAAACAGCTTAGATGAGGATCTAGGAAAATTGGCAGACAATATTCAAAACAAGTCAAGCCATTTGGATCCCATATGGTTGTGCTTGCTGGGTATGTTGCTATAAAAATTCATAGAAAACATTTGAATCTGTATATTTAGAAAACTCTGTTCAGCTTATCACTAATATAATGTAAAAGTTCAGCTTATCACTAATATAATGTAAAAGTTCAGCTTATCACTAATATAATGTAAAAGTTCAGCTTATCGCTAATATAATGTAAAAGTTCAGCTTATCACTAATATAATGTAAAAGTTCAGCTTATAACTAATATAATGTAAAAGTTCAGCTTATCACTAATATAATGTAAAACTTCAGCTTATCACTAGTATAATGTAAAAGTTCAGCTTATCACTAATAAAATGTAAATCTTCAGATTATCACTAATATAATGTAAAACTTCAGCTTATCACTAATATAATGTAAAAGTTCAGCTTATCACTAGTATAATGTAAAAGTTCAGCTTATCACTAATATAATGTAAAAGTTCAGCTTATCACTAATATAATGTAAAACTTCAGCTTATCACTAATATAATGTAAAAGTTCAACTTATCACTAATATAATGTAAAAGTTCAGCTTATCACTAATATAATGTAAAAGTTCAGCTTATCACTAATATAATGTAAAACTTCAGCTTATCACTAATATAATGTAAAAGTTCAGCTTATCACTAGTATAATGTAAAAGTATATTCAAACAGTCAGCTTAAATATACTAATTATAGTTTCTAAAATACTTTTTTTTTTTTTTTTTAGCTGTTTATACTTTTTAATCACAGTAGTAACAGTCGAAACATTCCTGGACGACTTAATAATAAAAATGTTACAGTAATAATAATGTCATAAAAATGTCATATTGATAATAATATCATAAATAATGTCATAAAACTCAATAATAAAAATGGTTAGCAATTTAATAATAAATTAATAATATATTAATATGTATCCAACTAAAATATTTTTTCTTTATTAAAATTTCAAAATAAAATAAAGATCTTTTACATACAATTTTAAAATTTAATAAAACATAACTTTGAAATGCAGGAATACAACATAAAACGTAGAAAAAACACAAAACAACAATATAAAAGTTAAAATATTAGTAAATATAAACAACTATGAAGATCTAATAATAAAAAAATTAAATTTCGAATTCAAAATTTTGAGGCAGTTTTTTTTTTCCACAAAAATAAATCTCATTTTAATAAAATAAAAAGCAATACTTAGTGTATTTAAATTTCATAATTTCATAATAACACGATAAATAACCAAATAACCAAGAAATGCATCAAAAAATGATGCATTTCTTGGTTAAACATGGACAATGTTTATGTTTATGAAAAAAATGTTCATGTTTGAAATGAAATTCATAAGTTATTTTTGTAATATTATTTTGCTGCTGTGATATTTTATTAATAGTTTTATAATTTATGTTTATAAATAAAATAAATTTATTTTATAAATAGTTTAGAGTAATTCCACGTCAAAACAACCAGGCCATGCAACCCTATGTCCTTAGATTTTCTTTATATTTTAACCATAGTCAGTACATTATAAAGTAAGATAAATCCCTAAATTTCAAGGTCTAACTCCCAGCTCTTTGTGAGTAATAGTTCTTTCAATTAAGGCTACTATTATTGTTTTCATCATTTTCCGCCATTTTTAAATTTACACTTCTCCTTATAAAACCAAATCTTTAAACGTGTGAATTCTAAAAATAAGTGACTTAGTTAATCTTAAGGTGAGGAATTTGAATATATAAATAAAAAACTCATTTTATAAATAAAAAGAACCTAAATATCAATTATAAATGTTAAAATAATAAACACCTGCATAAGTAAAAATTTCGGGCGTGCGTTAAATTTTTTAAGCTTAAAATTTCAAATTAGATCATTATATGTTTGAAGAACATTATGTGAAAAAATCATTTCTGCCAAATGCATAGTTATGTAAATATTTTTATTTTTGTACTAAAAATGTATATATATAATTGGCAGGGGCGGATCCACAATTTTGTGGTGTTCCAGTTAAATAACTTCCAGGTAAGTTCTATACTCCAAACCTTTGAGTGATCATACTTATGTCATTTAAGAATATTTTACAAAAAAATTGCGCCGAAAAAAGCCTGGGAACAAAAATACTCTCAAAAGTAGGAATCATCGGTTCAAACGTGAAGGGAATTAAATTTTCCAAATAGAAAATTTATTTTCTTTAATAAAACTGAAAAATGTGCATATATTAAAAATCTAGTCAAAAAATCATCTGATATTCAAAAGTTGTAACCATTTAAAGTTTACAACCCCCTCAAAACGAGGGGATTGAAAATTTAGTTAGGTATAATTTCTAAAGAAATCATTACTTTTTTCTTGAAACTTTATTACCCTAAAGAAATTTCTATGTATTTTAGGATATTAGAGTTTATTTTTCAAAAAATTGATTTCCCCCACGTTTGGGCAGGTGATTTCTAGTTTTTAGGGTAGTTTTGTTCCCAGGCACTTTGCAGCCCAATTTTTTGCAAAAAATCCTTAATTGACACAAGTATAAACATTCAAAAGTTTGGAGTATAGAACTTACCTGGAAATTATTTATCACTAACTCCAAAAAATTGTGGATCGGCCCCTAAATTAAAGGTGTAGTTTTTATTTCTTTACCTAAAAGTAATTTTATGCCTAAACACCCAGGCCATGCAACCGTAATTCTCTGATTTGTTTTCAAATTTTCGCCATAGTACTTTAGAAAAAATTAGAATTCCAATCTAAATATAAATGGTTCTTAAGTTATGATCGTTTTTTAATGTACTTTTTTATTTCCTTTTTGTTTCCTTGTTTCCTTGTCTCTTCCAATTATCAAAGTTTAATTGCTGAATTAAGACATGCATATAATTTAAATGTGGCAATTAATCCTACATAAATTATGTAATTTATATTTGTGCATTTTAAAATTTGCAATTATAAAATTTATTAATTCGGTATCAAAATGAATTTATGTGATATTGGTAAAGCTTTGAAGTCAGAATGCCATAAAACTTTATATTCTAGAAGTAAAAAGATTTTTTTACTACTTAACCAAGACACTGATACTCGTCATAACATTTTATGGAGACCTGAGTTGCGTTCTTGTGAAGAACTATTCAGCATTTGGAATCACCATTTTCACTACTTTGGAAAAATATTTTAAAAGAAAAATGGCAATTGTGGCAATGTTTATAAAGTGCATAAAAAAAATAAAAAGTAATTTGATTTCATATAAATGAATACTACGTCTAAAAGTATACAACACGTATCTTAAATATCACTTTTTTTTAAGTAAATTTACAATCTCTTTAATGTTGGCTAGACACTTTGAGTCATTAGGGTGAAGATTTTACCTGGGTGGAAATTATGTACTAGCTGTAAGTCAAAAGCAATTGTATCAATAGAAAACCCTAGTGGAAATGAAGTAGATGAAGTATTTTCAAAAGAAGATGAACCAATTGCTCATATCCCCGGAAATTTTAGGAGAATCTCCTATTAATTTACATAGTGTTGCTTTACATCAACGTGTTGCCACTGCAAAGAAAAAATACAAAAAATCAATAAAAAAATTGGTAAAGATTTAGCTGCCTTTTATGAAATGAGTAGTTCACATTTTATAAATAATACTATTACGTCTTCAAAAACAGAACAAAATAAAGCATCTGATCTGGATAAATTGACATTATTGATGAAAGAACAAATAAGTGCTTCTGACTACAAAAATAAATTAAAAGTTCTTTCTTTAAATCCTGAATCTTGGACTAGAGACTATGCTTCTAACTACTTTGAAGTTAGTGTGAATGCTATTCGAACAGCTCGTCATATGAAACACGAGAGTGGCATACTTTCACTCCCATTGAACAAAATTGGAAAATTGTCTCCATTGTTCAAAGTTTTTATGAAGATGATGAATACTCGCGAACAATGTCAGTTAAAAAAGATTGTGTAAATGTTGGCAAAGGAAAAAATACCAGAATACAGATACAAAAACGGTTGCTATTGTGTAACCTGAAAGAATTGTACAGTCACTTTAAAGTTATAAATCCAGGGA